CATAATTATGAGAAAAGATGATGGATCAACTTCACTCTTCTCTGTTAGAAAGATTATATTCAATACTAACTCTGTACTTCACAAGGCACTTTTATGACAGTGGTTGGTCTCTGTATATCTTTCTACACAAAACAACAAAGAACTAAATAGTAGACTACAATAACCATCTTACAATATGACACTATAGTTCAGTTAAATAGCTTCATAATGTGCACAAGATTTTTCTGATTTTGGCTACTATTTTCCACAACAATAAAATGTGGAGTTAAGCACCTGTAGTTTAGATAATCATGACAATGTTACTCTCTTTGTACACTAAAGAAATGCTTAGTTTCTTAAGTTTCAAAGTAATTTCTCCTATGCTGAATTTAAACACATACAGAAATCTTAGTATGTTTGAACCCCAAGTCGTTTGCTTTACAAATGCTTTGAGGACACTTTGGTTAATTTATGGAAGATATATGTATATCTTCTTTGAAACTTTGAAAAATCCCTATGCCCCATCATTATGTATTGGGACATCCCTATGTCCCATTACTGGTCTAAAGAGGAACAGCACATAAACTATAATTGCTGAGGAAAAAAAAAAAAATAAAGCAACTTGTCCTGTCTCTAGTTGCCTGGGAGAAGAGACCAATTGCTCCTGGCTATAGCCTCCCTTCAGGCAGTCGTAGAGAGTGATAAGGGCTCCCCTGAGCCTTCTTTTCTCTATGTTAGACAAGTTCAACTCCCTCAGCCACTCTTCAGAGGATTTACCCTCTAGATACTACATCAGCTTTGTTACCCTCCACTGGACATGCTCCAGTACCTCAATGTTGTTCTTGAATTGAGCTGCCCAGAACTGAGCACAGTATTTTATGCATGGCCTCAACAGTGCTGAGTACACAGGGACAATCAGTTCCCTGCTGCTGCTGGCCAGGACAATATAAACCAGGTTACCCCTGGCCTTTTTGGCCAGGGCACACATGGTTCATGTTCAGTCAGCTGTTAACCAGGTCCCTCAGGTTCTCTTCCACTGGGCAGCTTTCCAGGCACTCTTCCCCAGCCTACAGCACTGCCTGGGGCTGCTGTGACACAAGGGCATTGATGTGGTTGAACCTCTGGCCTTTGGTCAGAGTTGATCCAGCCTGTCCAGATCCCTCTGCAGACCTTTCCTAACATCCAGCAGGTCAACACTCTCCCCAACTTGGTGTCAGTTGCAAATTTACAGAGGGCACAGTTTATCCCCATTCACATCACCAATAAAAATACTAAACAAGACTAGGCCCAAACACTGAGCTCCAGGGAACTGTAGTAAGTGGCTGGAAAACAACTGGATACAGCACCATTCATCATCATTCCCTGGGCCTGCCTATCCAACATGTTTTTAACCCAGTGAGAAGTGTCCCTGTGAAAGCTGTGGGCTGCCAGTTTTATTGGGAGAATGCCATGGAAGATATTATCAAAGGCTTTATTGAAGTCCTAGTAGACACATGCACAGCCTTTCCCTCATCCACCAGGTGCGTCACCCAGTCATAAAAGGAGATCAGGTTGGTCAGGCAGAGCTTCACTTCCTAAACATATGCTGGCTGGACCAGATCCCTGGCAATCCTGTATGTGCCATGTGATCACACTCAAGATGATCCCTTTCACAACCTTGCTGTACACCAAGGCCAGACTGACAGGATTGTACTTGTCCAGATCCTCCCTCTGTGCATTTTGATCTAAATCTCACTCCTGGACTTACAGTCAACACTGTTGCCACTGCTGCTTGTCCTGCATCACCTCAGTCTGTTCTGAAGGGATTGTAAATAGCTCTGTTGTCATAAAATAATTTCTTTAATTGGTAACTGTCAGCTAGGTAAGATTGAAAATTTACTGTAGAAAAATCACGTCTAAACATGAGTTACCCTTGAAACCTTAATCTCATTCATGAATATGCAGAAATTGTTTTATAATATTGCAACACGTTGCAAAAAGTGCATCTCAACTACTGTGAAGGATGGTCTAGAACAACCTGTTTGACTTTGCATTGTGATGGAGTTAAGCTGCACATGCATGTTATTTTCTGCCTGTAGGTATGCTGGTGCCACTCTTCTGTTCACCCTACGCTGTCAGTGCCACATCCTCTTGAAGACTGATCCTTTATGGCTCTTGCTGGATAAGATGCATCTGCAATCACTTTTTAAACTATTTCAAAGAAAACATGCAAAGATCACCTTTTGGACTGTTTAAATTAGTCCATCTTGTTTTGCTCGAAATAGAGCAATCGCTTGAAAATTCTCAACAGGATAGAAATTTTTGAGATGGTGGCAGTTATAAACAACTGAGAAAGCAAAGGCAATGATACCCATTTCTCTGACTGAATTTCAAGAAATCAACATGTGTCTCCACTTCGGGCTATACAAAATACATAAATAAGTTGGTCTATTACTAAGACTCTTGATTTCTCAAAAATCTTTGAGAATTTTAGAAACTAATAGATGTAGTTAGCGAAGGCAGGTGTTCTGAGTGGACTTCGATTTGTCATTAAATCAAGGATGTGAAAACTATCCGGACCTACTATCCTATATAGACATAGAAAAATACTTTTAGGCAACACCTCCCGTCTGGACTTGATGAATAATGGATTCACAGATGATATTAGGAGGAAATAAAGCATTTTTGTGGAATGTAATAAAGGATTTGTTATCAAAAAAATCTCTGCCTCAGAACTCAAACTTTGGGGATAAAGTGAGAATTGGCAAAATTCAAATTGAGACAGATATTCTCACCTATAACGAGCAACCAAAGCTACAGTAAAAACAAGCGAGGAGCAGCTCTCCAAATAGTACTCAAACCTTAATGAATTCTCCTTAGGCTTCAACACAAATGATGATGCCGAACACAGCAGCAAATGTGCAGTGACAAATGACAAAAATAAAATTACAAGGTGGAAAAATTGTGGAAGCAGAACTCAGATAATTAGCTTCTGAAATCATGGTAAATTTTATAATCCTGACTCACAATAATGGTAAGAAATCTGGTACATGAAATCTAGTTTACAAACATTTTAACAAATCACACAGAGATGAAAGGGGACATGTATTTCTATTCAGGAGCTGTGATGGAAATAAAAAAGCAGAGGTGTCAAAGGAAAACAGATGATATATTTCAATAACTTTTCCAAAGCTAATAAATGCTGGGATCCCCTGTACATCAGAGGATTTTTTGACTCACAAATTTTGTGAGTTAAAGTAACAAGCTACAGAAGTACCACTGTTTCCATGCCCTACTTTTTTTTCTCTCCTGAAGACCTGCTTTGTTTATATCTCAGTGAAGAGCTCATGGGCTAGACAGACTTTTGATGACACTTTCTACAAGTCTTCTTTTGTTGTTGGAAAGTAAGGAAAAGTCTTTACAAAGATGCATTGGAATAGATTAGCTATCTATTTTTCCCTGGTGAGATGACAGATTTCCTAGTTACAGGACTTAATTCACTTGGATTTCATAGCTCTTTCAGTATTGTAAAGTAAATGGAGATGTTAAGGAAAAAGTGAAGGGGAAAGAGCCATTGACAATATTCAGCTCATCTCTTGCAGGGACGTCTCATGCAGGGATAAAGAGTTCACCAAGGATGGGTCTGGAAGGTAACTTTATTTAATATGCCCACTAACAAACTTGGGACATACATAGGAGTTGGCCAGTGAAATTTGGTGACAGTTGTTGTGAGGTGCCTCAGGGAGGCAAAGACTTAGTTTTAGGTAAGCATTGTTAACGTGAGAGGCATGGCTGTGAGCCAAGCTAGTGAATTTTTACCTCCTGCTTTGGGGGAGTGGCTGTGTGGGCCCTGGATGAAGTTGTTCCACCCCAAACCCATTGTGAAGGGTGGCCCAGGAGCTCTGATTTGGTTTGAGCCTCTGGGGTTTCTCCCTTGCTGTGTTCCTAGTGGTCCCTGACCCTGAACTTCACCCTGGTTCTGTCCCTCAAAACCCATCACCCTGCCTTTTTTCGGGGCTCTCTGTCTCTGAATGACAGTTTGTTCCCATGCTGAATAAATGTTTCATGAACAGAGGCCCACCTTGTTCTTGTCCCATGTTGGTTCTCAATAACTGTAGCTTCCCTGGACATGATCCTGCAGTTGTGACAGTGAGGTAGGAAGCTTTATTGATAGGGAGTAAGATTGGAATATTCTACAAGTAGCCTAACCTTGAGAACTGGAGCCACAGCTCTAGGAAGAAATGTAATAATGCAGAAAGCATAGAGCCTGATTAAAACTTTCACAAAAAGCTTAACTGTCATTCCTTGGCTTAAATGGCTTAAATTGAACTGTTCTTTCCAAATTTATTGAAAACATAGATAGTCTCTAACTGGGTAATGGTAAGAAAATGCACAGGAAAGCAGTGAATGACCCTTCTCTGCTGATTTGCAGTGAGACAAGGCTAGAGACCAAGAAGTTAACTTCCACTGGCAGTTATAAACAACACTTGAGAGCTAACATGAATTTATGCTTTGAACTGCAAGTTCATCAGTTGGGAATGACAGAGGATAAAGATATGGGTGCATCCAGCAATCACTAACAGCTGCAGAAGGCAACTATGGATTTTGGAGGCCCTCAATCAGAGACAATAATTCCACTAGAAAAAGGTAAATATTAGCATCATCATGCCAGGCATTAGTAAGGCACTGCCTGGAAACACAGCTTTCAGTTCTCATCAAGCATACTCAAGAGAGATGAGCACAAGATGAAGCATACATGTAAAAGATGTCCCAAAATTTTCAGAGGAAGGAAGAAACTACTTCATAAGAAGAGAGGAAAAATGAATTTTTGGATATGATAACCCTCTGTATAAATATTATGTTGAAATAAATGTGAAGAGAGAGATCAAATAACCCAAGGAAAATGTTGTTTAAATAGGAAATTATTCCTTACTATCATCACTGATGCCATATTCTAGATCTAATTTTCAACAACAACAAAACAACTCTGGGTAGTGAAAGGTAGAACTTAATATTTTATTAAGAAATTTTTAGGAGTCAGTTATTTGTGATGTCAAGAGCCTTCGTTCAGTTACTCTAGGAAGCAGCTCCACAGTTGTATTTCTATGTCAGCAGATACGCTGGAGCTGGAATGAACAAACATATGAAGTGAGATTAGAATAGGATAATATTAACATCTGGAAACCTCAAACACTTTAATAGAGCCTGATTAAAACTTTCACAAAAAGCTTAACTGTCATTCCTTGGCTTAAATGGCTTAAATTGAACTGTTCTTTCCAAATTTATTGAAAACATAGATAGTCTGGGTAATGGTAAGAAAATGCACAGGAAAGCAGTGAATGACCCTTCTCTGCTGATTTGCAGTGAGACAAGGCTAGAGACCAAGAAGTTAACTTCCACCAAGAATGTATTTTTGTTCACACTCCAATAACACAGTAAATTTCAAGTCCTTCTCCCACAAGAACTGTGAATTGACACAGACATTGTCCCAAGAGCTCAACACACATTTTCATAGGATGAGAAAATTCATTAAAAAAAATGTATATAAATCATGAGCAGAAAAAGTGTGCATAAACATGTTGTGTAAATTATTTCCTAGAAATAAGTTTTACTGATGTAAGCACAGTGCAATAAAATATCATTTAACTGATGAATAAGTACTGTATACTACTAGTGGTTTCAGTACTAAATTTTCTCTTTACCACAAACTACCAAGGTCATGCAATTAAAAAGGGGCAGACTCAGCTGCAATGCCATAGTAATACTTACAGCATTTTAATAGATGGTAAATCTGTTTTCTTGTTTGAACTAGACCTTTAAACAAGGACTCTTTATTGTTGTTTATTCCAAGGAACTGAGAAGAATGTCAGAATTGTTACCTATTCACAACGCTTTAACATAATAATTTAGCGCAATATCATTAGATAATAGATTTACATTCACAAGTATTTTGTGTTGCCTTATTCATACGTTATTAAGGTTAGCAGTAAATGTGAGTCAGAAAGCAAATATTTGACTCAAGGAAGATAACTACCACTACAGCTTCACATCAGTTGACAGACTCACACCAACTGAAGAACTTTTATTTTCCAAAGTACAGGTGCAAGTTTCTTCATCCCAGTCACTAGGGCTGCATATTTGTACAAGTGAATGTTCTTTGGACCACAGCTGCCATCGAGGATTTCTTATATTATTGCATAGGAGATCCAGCACTTTAAAGCATTACATTATAAAACCCGTCAGAGAAGTTTTAGGCATGCTAAAAAATTTAATGAATGCCTACATCATTTTTCACAAAAATCACAGTTCCTAGTTTCCTATTGAAAAAAAGAGGAAAAGAGAACCAATGTAGGACCACATTCCTTTGAGACCATATGTCTCAAGTATCAATTTTTAAAGCAACTTAAATTTCAAAGTTCATTTTAAAAGTACAGATAAATAAGATGTTTATGAATTTAGAAAGGATGAAAGGGGGAATTTATTTATTTATTTATTTATTTTCCAACTCAATTAAAAATTTCCAAATCAGGAAAGTGTTCCAGGATTTTTCTTCAAGCCCTGTGCTTAGTGATATTTTTTTGTTTTCATTATTGAAGCAGTAATGCATAATTTTCAAAGACCAGTGACAAGATCTCAAGTGTTTCCCTGTTTCACCTAAACCACCCAGACACAAACCTACAGATATCCTGTACTGTTTTCTTTGGGATGCTTTGGATGGTAAAAAGTTGGAGCAGAAATCAACTGCAGATGAAAATTTCAATATAATGAATTGTCAAGCTGTACAAGCCTCTGTTCATGACTTGGAAACCTGGGCAAAATAAAGGGTCTGTGGTAAAAATCTGACATATGAAAGACTGAGCTGCTTGAAAGGTACCAGAGATGGCATTCCAAAGACATTACCATATTTGAGAATGTTAACTCCTAGTCTTAAAATGTCAGTAAGGTCCAACCTACAGGGACCACAACTTTGCTGCTGTTGGCAATTTGAATGAAAGTGAGCAATACATTGAAGACTCCAGATAGATATAGGAAGGTAAATCAGACTCACCCTGACCTCTCTGAAGTTACTGACAAAAGACCTTGTTTTACTATTGAAATCAATGGATATTTTTGGCATTGATTGCAGTAGGAACATGATTGAGCCCAAAGGTGCTAATTAGTGCTTATTGGGATAATAGTTTTGATGTGGACACAAAAGCAGCCTTTCTACTTTGCAATGCTAATGAATCTGAAAAGCAAGAAGAGTGCAATAGGGATAAACCTCAAATAATGTCACTCGAATGAGACTGTCTGTTGTGAATGCATCCTTTTAATTTTATTTTTATTTCTGGTTTGTGACAACTGTATTCTGAACTTTGTTTAAGTGTGCTAGCAAAGGGCTACAATATACTGATCCTTTCTACAGACAGCTGCAGTACCATGTCTCCTGAGAAATGGTGACAAAGAACATTATGCCATATGAATGTGAGAGTTAATGAAGATAACTCATTTGGGCTTCCTTAAATACAACAGAAAGCTCTAACATCTGTAGTATCATGTGCCAGCTATCAACTGAAACTCCAGGTTTAACCCCAGGCTATAGGAAATGTGGCAACACAGAAACATTTTCAATTTTAATTTTAGTGCCAGTGTCTTTCAGTGCCAGATTTGTGTGTTTTTCAACTCACAATCTCACTTCAGCTGCTCCATGACAGCCTATTCTGCTTCTCAATATCTTCTATCTCTTTTCTTGGCCAGCATCACACTGGCACAAAATAAATAAAATGGGAAAGGAGAAAAGAATGGATATTCATGTTTCCTATAGTCATTAATACTGGTGTGACACAAAATAATACATAGGTATATGGTAAAACACTGGGACCCAAATATGTTCTTTTTTAGTCCTGTTTAAGACAGAGAGCACCATGAAGCAGCATGAAGCTTGTATTTCATGTGGTTGCAGACTAACAACATACCAGGCGCAGGCTGTGTAAGAGTTTTGTCATCAAAATCACATTAGGGATAAAGTGTGAAAGAAGCAAATGCAGACTAATGGAGAAACAGAAATTCATCAATAATTACATGCTTAGTATTCTTATCTGTGGAGTGCTGGAAGTACCCATAGGAAATTTCAGAGATGAGGTGAAAGGGTCTGTATTCCTTTCCATCAGCATCTAGGGACCCAGTCAGGTGTGGAAGATGAGGCAGCCCCACTGAGACAGTGGTTTTCTATACTCCACAGGGAGATGAAACTGGTGTATCTATTCCAGCTATTGGCAACATGAAAACAAAAAGGTATTTTTTTTAGCTTTCACAATTGTATTTTTAACAGTGGGGTCTCATGTTCTTGATGATATGCAGGACTACATTCAAGCCTCAGTTATGCCCTTGTAACACCACTGAATTCAAATAGTATCTCAGGAAAGAGTCTAGACCAACATGTCTTTATCAAACACAATCTAACTGAGACCTCTATTTCTAAATGGATTTTTTAGTTAGTAAAGTAAAATAAATGTCCAGTAAATTTCTCAGAAAGTAATTCCCTTTGAAGAGTAAAATAAATATTTATAAGATTAAACAATCAGCACTAGCAAGAAAAGCAGCAGGTATAATCAGAGATGTGCCGAAGAAGATAAAACCATATATTTGGTCTTGTTTTTAAAACAGTCTGTGTCAGTCAATGTATCAATGTGCTGTTCCGTTATCTCAACAACTTGGTACTGCATCTTTGCTACTACTATTTTGCCCTTAGGTATTTGCTTATACAAAATATAAGTGAACTGACTATAAGAGAGCTGAACTATAATTAGCAAGTCTATTTTAGAAATATGGGAAGCTGAGAGATTTGCCAGGTCTCTAGTTTTTTTTTTCTGTACAGTGATAAGAGCTCTTTCTGGGAGCCTTAGTTGATATAACACTGAAAAGTATATGCTTTTTTTTCTCTCTGCATTAGGAAAGACATTATTTTTAGTTATTTGTGGTATTTAAAATGTTTATCTCAAGTTTAAGAACAGGCCATTATTTAATTCCTACTACTTACTAATTTTACTATTTCAGTGATGACTATTAAATGATTGAGAAGGTTCTAGGCAAGCAAATGTTATCAGAAACACTGTCCTGTGCTGCTTGAATTTTCATTTAGAATCACTTAGCTTCCTCTAATGCTGCGTAGTGCCTTTTGCTCTCTAAGTGCCTTATTCTCCCACTGAAGATTTTAGGATTAAGAAATGCACTTCCTATTAGTATTACTGGAACCTGTATGTTTAAATCTTCCTAGAAATCAATACAAGAAAAAAAACCAAAAAAACATAGTAATTAATCTATGTTTCTAGAATACCAGCACTCCAAATATTAATTAAATTTCGAGGCTTGTGAAAAACATGCAACTCATCAAGTAAAACATCCTGTTTAATACTGGAGGAGCCTGGGTTGCAGATTTCCTGTTAATGTCAGAGGAATGTGGGGCCCTTCCTGGTGGAAAATGTTTAAAGACTTCCAGTAGAAATCCCTGAGTTAAGAGAATAATTCCTCTGATAAGGAAAATGTAAAGTCTGTATTTGTTTGGTAAGGGCTGGATCTTTAGATCTCTTCTCTAAAATTTGAATAGTTTCATTCACACATACATACAAAGAATATCAGGAATAAATCAGAGTACCTTTCTGGTGTGAAAAGAAGACAACATAAAGAGCAGATAGGTAACAGGTAAATATTAATAAATAAATAATAATAAATAATAATGCAAACAACAAAGCAAAAGGATCCCCTGTGACTCCTCAAAAGCAGCACAGTTTGGATCAGCAGCAAATTCTAAGAATATTGTAGCAGGCTACTTATGGACTGGAGATTCTCAGCCAGTTGTACACAGGGATTCCAAGGTGCTGTGATTCAAAAAGCCCTCTTATACTCTCAGGATAGGCATCCACATGTGGAAGCCAAACATAAGATGAGCTCAAATAGCTCAAGTTGACAGTTCTTGTAAAATTCTGCAAGAATGATGGGTCTTGTTTTCCCCTTCTTCTCCCAAGACATGGTGCCTGCTGCAGAGGGTAGAGCAGAGCATATATATGGAAAATACTCTCCAGGTAACAAAAATCTACCTCAGCTAAGAAAATTCTTCTCTTACAGCTCTTGTCCACATGAAGAATCTTAATTAATTCAACTGACCTACCTATGTGAATAACTTTGTGAGTTGCCAATGAAGACTAAGCAACTTAAGACTTTAATTTGCCACATACCTGATCAATAGCCACTAGGTTACCTTGATCATCTCACTAATTAAGCAAGTTACTTTTGCTAGCAAAACAGTCTATCTGGAAAAAATGCAGCGTGTTAACGCTGGAATACTGCAGACCCTTTTCCTCCCTCCCTCCCGCACTTCCTTCCGCACTTCCTTCCGCACTTCCTTCCGCACTTCCGCACTTCTGCACTTCCGCACTTCCGCACTTCACTTCACTTCCGCACTTCCGCACTTCCGCACTTCCGCACTTCCGCGCTTCACTTCCGCACTTCCTTCTGCACTTTTTTCTCTTATTCTCTGTGTTAAGTTGTGCTTTTATTAAGTTCAGAGCTCACTTACATTAAGGCAAATTGATCTTTTGAATTTTAAAGGCATTTTCTATCAATGCATTAAGCACTGGCTGTATATTTGGTGCTGTTAACTGGATTCTGTCACTGAAGCAAAGAGAAAAGCCATGTACTTAAATTACTTCATCACCAGTTCACAAGTTTATAATCTGACATGCCTATTCAGTGAAGTGCTCTGCTCATTTATGAATTAATGTATTCATAATCTGATATAACAGATGTACCACCATACCCAAGGGTAGCAGAACAACCATTTCACACCTTGCTGTACCTTAATTTTTTCTCATTTGCATTTATTTCTAAGAATATTATTTTACCAATGTCAAATCACCATGTGATACATGGTTTCTTCCTTACTAATAAAATAATCATAAGGTTGTTATTTTTTGTTTTAATAATGATTTTCATTGTTCTAATGGCAAATGTGGGGTTTATGGGTAATTTTATTGTGTATTAACTTATATCAAATAAGACAAATTTAACCTAACTTTTCCCTTATAAAGAAATTGTTGTGAGATCAATAAAATCTACCTTAAATGAAATGTTTTTCTGTAAAGAGAAAAACATAGCATTTAAATAAAATTGTGACAATGACAAGCAGGTGACTAAAAAAGGTTGTTAAAATTGGAATTTGTGCTAAGATAGTCATTTAAGATATATCCAATAAATCACTTTCTAGCACTTTCTCTCTCTTGGTCAAAAAGTTACCTGAAACAGATTCAAGAACATAAATTTAAGACTTCTAAGTTGAGCTAGGTGAAACTTGCTTAAATGTTTGTTACATTTATTTCCTAGATGAAATTAAAATTCTTCCATGTCTTACATAACAAAACTGTTTTAATTCCAAGTCCCTCTTAGGAACTAGGTTTTCTTTCTTTCACTTTGCTAAGTAAAAATGTCAGTTGTTTGAGCCAGATTTACTCTGTGAAGCATAAATTGAAGGGAAACATTTGGTTCCTCAGTTCCACCTGCTGCTACTGCTGGCGGCCTGGGTATAATCCATTTCCCAAAATGATCAAGTGTGAAACTAGCTCATTTTTTCACCCACACTGTACCTATTGGAAAGCTGCTCTAACATGTTTTTATGAGGATTGAAACCCCCTAATATTCATCATAAATACTTTCATGGGCAGTTTCCCATTGGTCATTTTGACAACATTATCTTTTGCCCAAACATCTGGTCTGTCTTAACACAGTGCATCCCCTTGCTTTCAGTCCATAGCATAAGACCTTGCTTGCCATTTGCCTTCTTGAAATCCAATCTGTTTTTTTCTGAGGATACTGCTTCTCAAATTCCTTTTCTTTCTCTATGGTATTCCAGTCTCTCTTACCAAGCTCTTCAACATATTTGACTCTCTTTATCACAGGTCATTAAATAGTAGCTAACTAAATTCAGAAGTGTCTGGTTTGTTAAGTTTATAATCAGAAATATCCTAACACTAATTCATTCTCAGGAAATGCAGCAGAGTAGATATCCACCTGGAATCTTTGATAGACATATAGACAATTCCACAGCAGAGGTGTTTTACCACTTTTCTGTTCAAAAATTATAGATATATGAAATATTTTCCCCAAAGCTCAATCCTTTTAGAATTTTTCATTTGATGAAGAATAGCTTATCTGATTGAGGAATCACTTGAGGTTTTGCCTAGGATTGTCAGGAAAGGAACATAGTTTTTAAGGTCATCCATCTTACATACACAGCCCCCACATATCTGGTGAGTGAATGTTTTATTTATCAAGATACTGGGGAAATATTTTGTGTTTAGATTTCCCCTTCACACCCTCAAAATAATTGAAAGATTTAAGGCAGGGTCTACACACAGTGTTTGTTAGTTTAATGGCTTCTTTTGATACCATATGTCAATAAAAACTCACCTTTGCTGTTTCATACTCTTGTGATGTATTGAAGGAGTCAGTCTTACGTACGTGTTTTGCTAAACTGAATACAGCCCTGGATGATACTTGAATGCAGAGTCAACAGTGAAGCTGTAATAGAAGTATGAATTGCCATTTCCTTTGGATAAGGGATGCAGGGAAAACATGCTGCGAAGGCTTGTTAGAAGACCATCAAGGAGAAAGTGAGAAAAATGTCGGAAGCAACCGGACAGCTCATTCCCTGGCTGGGAATGGATGTCTTGTATTAATATGCAGAGCTCCTATGGAAGAAACTATAAAAGGGGTTGGAACCATTAATTTGGACTGTGGTGTTGATAATAAGATAAACACAATTTTTAAATACAATATTATATATCATGTGGTCAGCTCAGATTTCTGAAAACAACTGTTTTGTTTGCAGAACACTATTTTCAGCCAAAATGGCACTACATTCCATGGCCTACTAAAAATGACACAATTTCATATTTTCCAAATTATTTGAAGAAATTTAAGATTGATTTAGCTTGTGATTTGGGGCATTGCTTGTTTGTTCGTGAAGACAACTTTCTGTCTTCAGCCTCAGCATTTCTCTACAATGGTTGGAAAGGGAAACCAAGATGGTGACATAGATTCCACTAAGAAAATGACAAGCTCTTTAACCACCTCTGTTTATTGATTAGGATTCTGAAAGGCTGATTAAAATACTATGTATGTGTTAATGAGACAGCTACAGAGAATATTTTGGGATAAAGACTTTTTCTAGTTTAAAGGTTGATGATAGAAGCAAAAGATAGAACTGCAATGCTGGATCTTAATAATGTGGGTACTATGTCTCACATTATGATTTCAGCTGTACATTTTTTTAGTGCTGGTAAATCAGAGACTCAAATAGTTTCTAAACAGGCATTTTATGGTAAATCACTGGATGATCAGTTTTGTATTATTTTGGAAAAACTTAAACGTATCTTTTTCCTTCTTTGCAAATATCTTGGTTCCACCAGATGATAATCCACTGAAACTACTTCCTGTTCATGCCTACATTGAAAACGATGATGTGCTGACAAATAAGTTTTGTGAGATTCAAAAACACCTTGTTGCAGTTTAGAATTTGTTAATAGTGTGGAAACCACTAGAAATTTTCACCTAACAAAGGCCTTCTATTCCCACAGTTAAATATTTTTCTGTTCTAACTCAGAATACTAAAAGATGCAGAGCCAAGACTGCTTGAAAAGAGACATTTTGGTATCTGGTATCTAAATCATAGAATAACTGATATTTCAGAACAGAGGACAGAGATTTCACCTGTACTCCCCTCCTTTTGATTTTATCCCACAGATAGCAAAATTTCCCAAGAAATCTCAGTGCACAATGAGAAGAGAAAAGGCCAAAACTGTGATCAATTTTTTTTAAAGTATTGCTTGATATTTGCCAAGAAGAACATGAGTTAGGATGAGTGGTTCAAATCACCTGTGATTAAAGATCAGCTATACAATTGTAATAAGAGAAAAAATTAAGAAAAGAAAAAAGGAAGGTAAAGAAGGAGAAGGAGAAGGAGAACGAGAACGAGAACGAGAAGGAGAACGAGAAGGAGAACGAGAAGGAGAACGAGAAGGAAAAGGAAAAGGAAAAATGTTTTTAACAGATTGAATGCTGTGAAGTGAAAAATTATGTAATTCTTGTTTAACCTTTTGGCATGAATGGAGACTTTTTCTGTGTGTAAAATGGACAAGCTCATAATACTGACTGCAAAAACAGTCATAAGAATAAGAAATGAGTTACAGTTCACAGCAGCAAAAAGCTGAATGAGTGAATGATGAGAAATGCTCAGACTCCAAGAAAGCTTTGCTAGCTACTGCGTGGGATTAGAGAACTTTAATCACATCTATATTGGATAACGCTCTTGAGACTAATCATTATTCGACACTGTCAGCAAAATCCAGTCAGATTTGGCAAGGGTAAAACTCCAACATGAAGTGTGAACAATGTGGTATATGCCAAATGAACACTGACAGAAATGCATCAGCATTAGGAAATACACAGTGTTGAAAGAGACAATGGTAAACAGAACAAATAAAATCTTTTCAGGGCAATGCCATTCTCATGGTCTTATGACAATTCTGTGCATGATATTTTGTCGCTAATTTGGGCAGATAACTTTTTTCAGGCATATGTTGTAGAGCTACCTGTACTTGAAAAGATGGAGGGACAAAAAGATGTGTCTCATAACAGAAATATCAACTATCTGATGTTAGAACCCCACATGGGGAAGTAACAGGTATTAAATACAGACTTATATGTTATATATTTGTTTCTCAGTCAGATCCATAATATAATTGTTTTTTATTTGGTCACCAAAACAGTGAATTGTATCCACACACTAAGTGAAACTGTTTGAGAAATATAATGCATGTTGTTAAATCAAGACACTACTGGGGAACCATTGTAGATATCGGGTAAATGCTGAGAATAGATAAATACCTCAAACCAAAATGCATATTGCACAGTGTTTGTGCTCATTCGCTTAAGAAAGGAAAATAATGAAACAGCTAAAAGATAAGCTGAGAAAGTCTACATGAATGTCAAAGAGATTAAAGATTTAATTTTGACCATTTGGTCTACATCAAATGGGCCTACTGAGCTCATTACAAGATAAAGAATGAGCTCTTTTTAATACATACCGGAATTTTGACCTTTAAAGTAACTTTTGAAAGCTGTATTCTCCTTTGCCTGTAGGGAAGAATTATTGAAAAGATTGCTATGCTTACTATTGCCAGGCATCTCTACCATGATGTAGTGGGTTTAGCGCTGGCTAAAATTACTAGTGCACTTACTAGAAGTATGTATTTATTTCTTGCTGTGAGAGATGAATTTGGAGGGTAAA